CAGGAACTGTTTTGTCATGTTTGATCTGACAAGCGGGTGTCACCAGATTTTAGCGACGCGCCGTTACTGCTAATTTTTAAAAGGAGTGACAAAACGCTATTCAAAACTATCAAGGAATAAATCTGATTGACGTGGCTGAAAAAATCTTCGCCACACTATTATTTTAGATTCCAGTACATCCATGATGAACTTTCAAATTCGAATCAGGCTGGCTTCTGCGCCGGAAGAGGTGCATCGATCCAATCTTTGCGTTAACCGCACCGTCGAACACTGGTTGTGTGCTTTATATGCTTCTCGTCAGCGTCCGATTCGGTTCATCCAGACTTAGCGCATTATAGAAACGGACGGCATTCCCTAGATGCTTATGAGCCTAATTACAGCATACTACCACAGAACAGAGCAAGAGTCCAGGCCTACGGCGAACTGATTGGCCCTTTTGACACTGGTTCTGGCATTTATCAGAGCTGCGTCCCCTACCCTGTTCTACTTAACTTCATCATTGATTGGATCATGCGAACTGTACCGAGTGGTTTCGCAGGCGTTCTGGTAACTACACCACTGGTCTTGACTATGCCAACGATACCGTCATCATGCCATCGAACTGTTACGACGCCCGTTATGGACTTAAGCGAATCCATAACGTTATACTGCACTAGTGAGACTATTCATCAGTGCAGAAAAACGAAAATATTCACCGTAGAGAGGCCGAAACAAGAGTAATAAAAACCATAATCATATATGTCAGTCCGCGTGAAGAGGTCACCGCCTTAAAATTCTTTGGCTCTTTGATCGTTCTCAATATACAGTCCAAAATTGAGATTACGGCTTGGACAGAAGCAATTAAGTGGATTTGCTCGAACTCTGCAAGCCGATGTCGAAACGAAGAGAGATCAGCCGGAAGACGAAGTACCGAGTTTTGCAAGCCGCCATCCATCTCATTTATGGATGTGAGAGCTGGGCCCTAAAAGTTTAAGACGTAAGAAAACTAGAATCCTATGACTACAGGAATTTACGATCATATCGCGGACAATTTATCGTCTACATTACCTCTGCTACAGTCCATGTCCTGTGCAACATCATTCAGATCATTGTTCCCCTGAAAGAATGGTAAGTGCGTTGGCAGGGGC